AGAAAGGAGCCATTTCCTGTGCAGAGAATTAAATTCTGAAATTCACAAAATAAATGAGTGAATCCTCTGGACAACCACACACAGACAGACATGCAAAAAGTACCTCAATTAAAAAAAACAACCCATCGCATCTCTTTTTTCCCCAGCCATTCACCTCTTTTAGAGATGCATTATGTATTTTTTGTTTTTACATTGTTTTACAAAAACTACAGCCTCGCTGAATCCAACTCAGTTATCCAGTATACAATATATATAATGAAACATAACAGTTAAAAGAAAAGAATACTTCAAAACAAAAATAATCTATCGATAGAATAGAAAGAACTTCCAGAATCGATCTCTGAAGGCCCTTTGGAAAATCCAGGTGGTTACAACTCTGTAGAAGGCCCTCAATGTGGGGGATCTCCTTGCCCTGGAGATTAGGCTGTCCCACAGGAGGGGAGAACCTCCAAAGAACTCCCACCACCACGTCCCTTAGCAGTCATAGGAACCTGAAGGAGGAATTCTGAAAACCATTATTGGCTTATACATAATGTCCAGCACTTCGTAGTCTATTGCTTCTGCACGTCCTGGTTTTTCTGAAATATGTATCCTGACATATCAGTCATTAGTCTTCATATTTTCCAATTTCCTTTCCATGGAAAGAGTCAAAAAGAGTAGTTCTGTGGTGGATCTAGAGCAGTCCACTCCACTCCATCATCTCAGCTTCATGTCTTACCTGTAAGAGTTTGCTTGCTGGCTGCTGATGCTTCTCCTCCCTCTCCTGGATGAGATCCTCAAGAGAGGAAAGTTCCTCCATGTGTGTGGCCAGCCACTCGTCCCTTCTTGCCACAATCTCCTTCTCCGTCTCTTCCATTCTGGCCAGCAGAAGCTTCTCCTGTTCTTCCAAGCAACGTCATAGTTCTCTGAACTCAGCCACTGTGTTTTCTCTCTCTCTTTTGATCAGGTCCTAGAAGAAGAAGATAGAAAAGGCAAAGGTCATAACTATTATGATAATTAAACTGATTCACTGAATAGTCCAGAATTGATAGGGAGAATTTCTTACGAAGAACACCCCTTTTGACTTTTCAACTGTTTTGACATCAACAAGAGCAGGGGGAAAGGTTTCTAAAAACCAAAATAAGGGTCGACTTTGAAGTGATCTTTCATGAACGTTTTCAGGGCATTCCA